CCGGGGTATTTCGTCTTTTTGATAAATTTTGTCAAATTTTGTCGTTTATCAAGACTTAAGTAGCTTAGAACCAAAACACTTCGTTTATTTGTTTTAGTGGTTATCGAAAAAACGAAAAGGAACCTTTCAGTTACTAGGAAATACTGGAACCAGGGTGGGGGGAAGGTTTTCCTTGAAAAACACGGAAGTACTGACCGTCCCCCCCTCCCTGGTTCCAATATTCGTTTTTTTTTGTTAGAGGTAGACAGTGGAAAACAACTGCCAAATTCTGCCCTTTCAGGGTTGCCGACGGCAGAGTCAATTCGATTACGCGCTGGAAAAAATGTCTTGCGCCTCTCCCCTGGGCGCGCTCTGCCCTATTGGCCACTTGCCAATTTGTTGATGGTAGGGGGGGGATCGACACATGCCGTCGGCAGCCCTTAAATCGCTTATAAATTCTAGGGCTAATCCGACTTTCCAGGTACCAATGCGTCCTCGGGCAGCGAGGGCAAAAATATTTGCTGCAGCGAGGAGGGGCACGAAAGTACGTTCGAATACAAACTACGCCAAACCATTTACTATGTAGTTTTGCCACCAAAGCGAATTTCAGCGTGTTCTCCCTGGTGAGCGTTGGGTGGACGGGAAGTGCGTGACGGCCATCCGGCCCGGCGAGCCCCGCACCGACAGTCAGCAATGCGTCGGGGGCAGCAGTTGCATAGACGCTGTCCTGCACGTGAGAGCGTTTTTGGTCGTTTTGGCACCTTGAAAAAACTTTAATTCATCATTTCTATTTTCAATGTTTTTAGATGCCCTCCGGAGCATGACGTACTCGGTCACGTTTGTGTACCTCGCGAATGTGCCGGAAATGAGGTATAGCTTAAAACCTAGGAAATCATTTTCGTTGCCAGATCCCGCATCGACGGGCAGTGCCAGGCTCGCGCCGACATCGGACAACAGTGCAAAAATTCGCTACAACGTACAGGGAACTCTAAATGCCTGAAAGAGCGGTGTGACTGTGCTGAGGATGAGGTTCCGACCTGCCGCTCCTTTCTATCAATGTGCCTTTTAGGAGATTGCCAACAACAATGTGCGCGCCGGCCGAGCAGCCGGAAATCTCAGGAAAAAGTTACATCGACGACGACGACCACTGAGGCGACGACCCTCGGAAAAAAGTAACCCTTCGTCGTAAGCTTGTCACCGCATTCAGGAGAAGCCAACTACCACCGAGGACAAGGAGGAGGGACGGGGAGAAGCCCGTAAAACCGACAAAGGAGCAAGGGACTGTGCCCGATCAAGGGTCAGAAAGCCTTCTACGAGAAGGGAACCACACGGCTACGGTACGTGGGGTGCAATTTTCCAAGGTCCCAGAGTTTTAAACATTTTTCACGAATTTTCACAAGTTTGGCGGCCCGCAATATCACTGTTTTAAGTTTTAAGTTTTATGTCCCTGTCTTACAGCTATTGTTCCCCGGCGCTGGCCGACTGTCCGAAGGGCTACAATTGCCAGTACTCGAAGCTCGAGATGCAAAAACATTTGCTGTGGCGGGCAAACGGAGAAGCCGTCCAAGCACGGTAGTTTTTCGCGCGGTTTCCGTTTCAGTTCGGTTCCTTTCAGCTGTGATGTGCCCGGTGGGAATGTCGCCATATCCGCTGAACGGCAAGCCAAAGTCGTGCCAAACCGGGACATGCCCATATGGGTATCAGTGCAAATTTAGGTGGGGTATTTACTGCTGGATAAGTCCGATATTTTTTTCAGCTCGGCCAAGCACGAATACTTTTGCTGCTCGAAGAACGTGAAGGCGAAGCGAACGTTTATGCGAAGTAGGTTATATCAATTATTTGGAGATATACGACTTGTGAGAACGCTGTTTTAGGGCACTTAAAGAATGGAGCTTCGGCCTTATCGGAGGGGGATTTTGGCCACATTTTTTGAATTTTTTTGACGAAAAAAATATGAAACGAAATTGCATTTGGCTCAATAGAGGAAACTACTATTAAAGAACTTCCCTATTTCACTGAAATTTTTTGTCTTTTTAGGTGAAAATCAGGGTTGGGCCGCTTCGCGACTTATCAACCCTGGCCCTGTCTAACTTGATGAAATTCTTCACTCTGCATACGTCTCTCGAATTCCTATGGGGGAAAAAATGAGGAATTCCACTCTCACCTTATATATAGGCTTCCGCCACTTCCGGCGTATGCTAATTATTTCCTAACAAAGAAGGCTGCCGGATTTTTCAACAAAAACTCAATTTTTAATGTCGAAAATAGCATAATTTGCAAAATCAGATATGCGTGCAGTCATCTCCGGGGACGTTACGCACCTAATGACGTATCATACGTAGCCTAACGCCCTTCCCCTCTTGAGATATCCTCCGGACACGGTGACGGGAAGTTGCTTGCAAATGCACACACACACACACACAAGGAACTATTTTTTTATATATAGTAGGATAGTGGGGAAAAATATAAATACATTGTCGATTTATTTTTATCTGTGAAGGCCAGAAAAAGGTTCGCCCCCCGATACTGCTAGAGAACCAGAATTATTTTTACAGGAAAACACGATGGCTGTGAACGCGGGCGGGCCCTGCTTTTCCCGAACACACAGGAGCCGGTCTCCTGCGAGCCGGCCAAGAAGGGCCGCCCGGTGGTATGTGGATTCTGAATCGCTGAAAAATTCATTCATATACGTACCATTAATGCGTGAAAACGTGAAAACACGACATTCAGGGATACGCTTGTCTGCCGAACATCTCGAACCAGATGTACCAGTGCTGCTCGATTGCGATGAGCAAGGACAACGAGATGATGTTCGAGGAGGTGGAAAGTGGGGTTTTATATTTTTTTCTGCTCTTTTTTCTTTTTTTCTAATGACCCAAGACTGACTGATTCTCTAGAAATTTTGAACTTTCCTCCTTTCCAGTCGAATGTCCCTCGTACATGACGCGGGTGGAGCGCGAGGTGAACGGCGTGATCAAGACGTTCTGCGGTTTGTCTCATGGAACCATAAATTCTAATGGCAATTCTCTTGCAGAAAAGCCACCTGCCCAATAGTCGACGCGCAGCAACAATGACAGCGGCACGAATGACAACCCCCCGAATCGATGATACTCAACATTAACAAGTTCTTTCACGCGACCGATTGTGATTTTTGTCCGTTTTCAATTTTGTGTCCCCACTACCGTACCCTTTCTAGGGTATTTCGTTGTGATTAATTCGTGTCAAGATAAGTTGGCACAGCGCGAGGCCTCGGATACGCACAAGAAAAGTTTTGGAGCCTAAAAATACAGATTATGTGCGTATCCCGGCCACTCTTCGTCAGATACTGTGTATCGAGCCAAGAAATAAATTGGTTTATCATTGAAACAAAGACGACTCCACGTTGCATGAAAATAAAAGAGAACTTCGTAACGTTATACATCAATAGGCAAAAATCATAGAATAAGGGAAAAACAATTCGAAACCTCCTATGTACAATCAGATCACAGTGTTGCCGCGTCGGGGGCTCAGATCAATCGAAAAGCGGAAGCGGAAAAGGGGTCAAAATCGACAAAATACGAGGGGGATTCGCGGGGAAAAAAATAGGATATGCTGTTTAAGTTTAGACACGTGTTCGATTGGCGAGTAGCTAGTTTGTAATAGAAAAAAATGGGAAATTAGAGTAGTTTAACGAACTTTAAATGGAAAATACTACTAATTGAGTTGCTCGTTTTCTAGTTTTGTAGTTCTGTTTTTTAGTTCAGCTAATAGTTTTTAATCCAATTTAAAAAATAGTAATAGAAACGTTAAAATCCACGCAATAAAAAAATACAGTTTTAAAAACCCTACAACCTACACGAATTTTACAGAAATTAATGTAAAAAGAGGGGAAAAACTGAACCGCTATATAAACTGGGATTTAAAATATTTTAAAGTTTAAATGATTAGCCCGTCTAATTAACGTCCGGCAACCGGCTCGACTTCAGCGGGGCCAACTGCTTGGGCGCTGGTTGATGCTTAGCATGCGCTTCTGGCTGCTCAGCTGCAGCCTCGACGACGGCTTCGACCACTTTTTCGACGGCCTCTCGACGGCGTCAGTCGTTCCACATCTTCATTATGTACCCGTACTCGTTGGCACTGTGAAGCGCTTGCCGAAGAACTGTTCGGCCGGCTGGAACTTTGTTTTTTTGTTTGAAAGGTAAGAAAATTGAATTTAGGGTGTTAGAAAAATTAGCTCCTAACTGAAAACGCTCACCCCGTTGGCGCTACTAGCACCTAGTTTCAACCTAAGTTGCCGGATGGTCTCATACACACTCATCCCGCCGCGAGGTGGGACTGATCGCCGGCCACTGCGGGTGGAAAGCGTTCCCATGGCGATTCGGGTCCCTGGAATTTGTAAGCTCGCGGATTTTGAAAAGTCCCTACCCAAATTCTGACAAACGACGAGAAGTAGTCGCTGGTGAGGGCGGCGAGGATTTTCTCCTTCTTCGAGAAGGCCGTGTTCGAGTAGAAGGCCTGCTGCCGGAGGAGGTACGGCAGTTCGGGAGGCGTGGGTAGCACCTGGACAGGGTTTTTAAGTGTTTCTTAGCGAAAAATTTCCCAAATAGGCACTGCTTAGTTTGCCTGAATTAGATTTTTGCCAATTCTAAATTCCGCAACTTTTTGGTTTAATCCAGCTCTGGAAATATCAGACCGATTCCCAAATAAACAGTGCTAGCTTGCTTGATATAGCGTTGCTTTTCCCGCTGCTTTTTAGGTCTACAGAGCGACTTTATACTTTGAAACTCCTTAGATTTAGTAAAACTTAAAAAAAACAGAAATTCCTGAAGAAACTCGCTAGCTTGCCTGTTTGGCTTTAAAACAGTAATTATTATAAATACAAATTTTATACCATGAAACGGGAACCGCACGCCGATGATCCCGTAGCGACGACGTGGCTAAAAACGACAATTTCCTAAAAAACGCCGCAACTACCGTATACTCCCACAAATAGGCATATGTGGATGCTGGCCGTGTGCAAAGTGGTCCATGGCCATCGACAGCGCAAAGTTTGACGCGAAATCGCCGTAGCAGACCGGGTAGAGCAGGTTCAGCTTCTCGGGATGCCATCTTTCTTGTACGTCTCGATTAGCAGATCCAGGGTTTGCTAAAAGAACGTTGTAATGCATTTTTAAACGGCTGTATAATCCCAAAAAATAGCTAAATATAAACTTGTAAGAAAATCCCATAAACAGAACGCTCACCTTCATCTGTACTTCATCCTGATCGTGTACAAGGTTGCTCATCAACAGCTGGAAGCTCTTCTTCGACAAGCCGAGCGTTTTGATGGCCACTAAAATCAGGATTCGATTACTGTCCGAAGAGGATGGACCAACCAAAGAGTAGCCCTCGTACTCGGCCACCCCGCAGATCGTCGCCATAATCGGGGCCTCGAGGCGAAGTCGTGAACAGAGATTTTGCTAGGTTTTTCCCAGATTTAACTCGGCCTAAGCCTCCGGAAAGCCTACGCTCAATACGCCCGCAAAACCTCACCTCCACCGGTTTCGGCAGAAAATAGCTATCAAGTACGGCCACCTGCGGCATTTTCAGCTCTTCAGCAAGGGGCGTGTAGTGCAAAAACGTGCAGCCCGAGACCTGAGAAAAACGAAGATGAACAAAAAAAGAGTTAAACTAATAGATTATTTACCGAATTTTAATAAAAAATTATTATTACTTTTCGCTGGTAGCGACCGCAAAAACTCCATCATCGCCTGGTGTTCTTCTACTGGAGACGCGTAGTTGCCTTTCGGTTGCCAGCCGAGCCCATCGCCTTTTCCTGAAAAAATACTAAATAACCTCTGTTAGGCATGTTTTAAAAATCTCCGTTCCAGATAAACGACGAACCCACTTACTTGCAAAAATCGACGGTTTCCCTTGACGCGGGAAGTGGCCCAGAAGACGAACGAGCTGCCCCCCATCACGATCTTTTTGTTGAACAGGTCTAAATTAAACAATGTACTGTAGTTGTAGTTTATACTCACGCCTCGTCAATGGGGAGATGGATAGCAGATCGGTGCTGACGGCGCCCGCGCTCTGGCCGCCAACAGTAATCTCGCTGGGGTCGCCGCCGAAGAGGTTGATGTTCTCGGAGGTCCATTTTGGGCTTCTGCCTGGTCGAGGTGGCCCATGTTACCCTGGAATTTAGGCGTGAAAGAGCCGATTTACCAAATGCCGATTTACAAAATGCCGATTTACAAAATGCCGATTTACAGAATGCCGATTTACAGAATGCCGATTTACAGAATGCCGATTTTACATAATTTGGGTCTACATCCAAAAATACAAACCGGATCCCCAGAAAAAACATCATCCGACTTGGCCATGGCGAATTTTTACGAATTTTTTTTCGCGTAGGGATCGGGGCATTACGAGGAAATCGTAAGCCTCGCGACAAGTTTCAACGCATGCGCTCTTCGCTGGTCGCCGACACTGCAAACGGTGACCAGCTGCAGCGAGAAACTCGACGATTCATTATTTTTCTTGCCGTTGACAATGCGTCGAGAGGAAGGGAAACTGTTTGGTGGAAGAGATTTAATTTAGTAACCCATGGGCGGCCGCTTGGTAACGTGGAACTAGGGTTTCTCTGAAAAAAAAAGAACATAGTAAAGCTAGGCCTCAGGTCTGGCGGTTTCGCCATGTCCAAGTCGGATAATGTTTTTTTCTGGGGACCCGGTTTGTATTTTTCGGATGCAGAACCCAGAATTATGTAAAATCGGCATTCTGTAAATCGGCATTTTGTAAATCGGCATTCTGTAAATCGGCATTTTGTAAAAATCGGCATTCTGTAAATCGGCATTTTGTAAATCGGCATTCTGTAAATCGGCATTTTGTAAAATCGGCATTCTGTAAATCGGCATTCTGTAAATCGGCATTCTGTGAATCGGCATTATCAGCCTATACCGGGGGGTAGCTACTCTGACTGTGCCTATAGACGCCTTAAAAAGAAAAACTATAAAGGTGGATTTCCAGGCCCTTTTAGGTGTCGGTTTACACTTTTTGCAAGTTCAAGAATTTTTACTTTGGTCAAAAATTCCAAAATGTCTTATGAAAAAATGTTGTAGATCTTTTAGCAGAAGGCTTTTGCCAGAAGGCCTCCGTTTTAAACAACTCACCGGACAAGCCTCATCGCCCGTAGAGAAAAAGCCGAGAAAGCCGAGCCGGTAGCACACTGTCACGACGATCACGCCCTGGGCGACGAACTGGCTGAAAGAAAAGATTATTTTAGTGTGTGCCAAAGATAGGGGAATGGAGTTTTAGCCGCTGCTCGGCCGTTCTCCATCTCCGTGTACAACCAAAACATAGGCCTTGTAGCGCCGGCAAGACGCGCCTTTTGGTTTACTTGAATTCTCTTTACGATAAAAAGATTACGTTTTTAGTAGCGATTGTATAAAATAGGGAAAAACACAAGTGACAAAATGATAGGGGAATCATTAACATATCATTTCCATCAACTTTCTGTATGAATAGTGGATGTTGATTGATGCGACTTCCACAGATTCAAAGCAGGAGAAGATGTGGCAAATCGTAATTGAGGGCCAAAATTCTGGATCGGAAGTGTTGTGACCGTGGGAATTTGCATCTAATTAGTATCGAATAGTGATACTGAGAGTTGATGTTAACTGGCATGCTTAATCCTTCCCGATCATTTTGTCACTTGTGTTTTTTCCTTATTTTTATCAACAGCTAGTAAAACTGTTATTCCTGTATCGTAGAAGTATCTGGAGTATGACCATAAGGGCCGCGTTTTCTTCGAATCTACGACACCGGTAATTCGGTTTTGCCATGCTACATGTAGCATCGCAAAGAAATCGACCAATAACTTTATTCCCCTATCATTTTGGCACACACTGTAGTACGCCGTTTACAGTACTATGGATCGACCTGTTAAATGGGCTCCGGTTGAATCTGAGCCGGCGAGTCCATCAGCAGGGCGCCGCCATGGATGTAGAAGAATACGGGGTATTTCTGGAAAAAAGGGTTTTGATATTGTCGAGTTTTTCGAAAAAAAACGTTAATGCATAACACACCAACCTTGCCGGCCTCGAACTTGGGGGTGAACACGTTGAGGTAGAGGCAGTCCCGGAGGTGGCCGGCAGCCGGGAGACGAGCATTTCCCACGCGGGGATCACCCTGGATGGCTCGGCGGCGGTAGGAGCGGCAGGAGAGGGTGTTGTGCCAGCCGTCCGGGGCGACCGGTCGCTAAAAAGTTATTTAAATTTAATGTCGAAAATATGAGGTTTTCAAAAGGTCAATTGATGAGAAGGTTTTTCTAGACCATGCACAGACCCTAATGACAAATCCACCTCCCCTATCGAGGTATCCTCGGGAAACGCTGACCGAAGTTGGATCTACCAGCAGGCAAGACACGTTTTCCATTTTTTTAATTGAATTTGAATTCGGACGGTGAATTTCTATCGTGGTTTCGCTCCGAATATTTTCGCGGTATTTCGACACCGGAATTCTCAAGTTGTACGTGAAACCGGCCTTGAACTGGTCGAGCCACGCCACCCGGCCACTCGAACCCACCTTGAACCCGGAGGGGCCCGACTGGTGGTTTGGCGTAGGGGATGCCGAGGTAGATGTCGGCGACCGGGCCATTCTGAACAGTAATATAGCGTTACGGAAAAGCGCTGTAAGGCATGGATTTTGCGAAGCCGCGACGACGCAACGCGTACGGATCACGACGCGCTACGTCGCAAAATCCTTAAAGAGCTCCCTTTGATTAAAATACCTTATAGTGAATCCTCCTCCCCTGTACCGTGCCCTTCTTGGTGACCACCTCCGGGGCGGGCAGAATCTCACGACGGCTCACCAGCGAGCTCCCAGCCCCCATCTGAAAATCGGGGAAATGAGACGGCGCCGCAAAAAATTTCGAATCTACTAAATTTAAAATTTTGATAGTCACGGAAATAGCTAGCAACGATTCCTGGGAAGTTGCCTATCAATCCCAGCCATTTTTGTTTTTGGGTATTCCAGCGCGTTGAGCATCCTAGGGCGCGCGCGCGGCAGCTTGAAAATAGAAATCGGGGCCGGTTGGTACGATTTGTCGAGGCCGTGGCGGCCGGCTAGGCCATGGGCGACGCGGTCCATCGAGATCACCCCCATTCTGTGCAGCCAGGTGCATTACAATGGGCGGCGGAGTCGTGTGAACGTTCGGGTTAATGTTAATGAGAAATTTTAAAGCTAATTGGGGAGAGGTTTATCAAGAATAACAGTTCCTAAACTACAAGAAAAAACTATTTGGAAGTCTAGCTTCATGGAGTTTCGAAAAAAATGCCTCCACAGTAAGGCTATGATCCCCATTTGTGTAGGGAAACCTGGCTATTTAAAATCTCGCTCACGAAGGAAAAATACCTGCAACAAGGGGTCAGAATCGGAATTTAGTCAATGAGCTTCTACATCAAGCCCCTTAGAAGTGTTCCTAGAGTTTCCCACTAGCACCAGGTCGCAAAGCCGTTAACGAGCCGCCGGGGCCCGTGGTTGCCAGCCGCTACCGGTGCACTACTAATTACACGACGGCTATGATTGGCATCCCTGGCAGGTAGAGGTGGAACAGGGATCCCCCCGATTCTCTACCATATCACCTGCACTACTGGTGTGGTCGGGGGGAGTGCCAGTAGATGAGGAAAGTTTCTAGTTTTGAGTAGGTGCTGGAATTTCTAGCTTTTTTTAACCCCAATTAAATTTGAAATTTAAATCAAACCAACAAATTAAATCAAACTTCAAAGATAAATTGACTATAATGTAAAAAGAGTTCTAAGAATGAGAAAAGAAATTCGTTTCTTGCTTTTGGCCTAAATAAACTTCATGAACTTTAATATAATGTAAAAAGAGGTCACTAAACAATTTGCAGAATAACCAAGGCTGTAGAAAAAGCGTATAATTCATTAAGTGTAAAAGTCCAAAATATCTAAATAATATCAAAGGGACAAGAAGGGTAGCAAAAAAAAAACAAGAGTTAAATTTTCCTTTAACTTTAAAGGCCAACTCGTCAAAACCCACCATCGTTGGCGCATCCTGCATGACGTCCGCGTAAATGAGATGTAAGGAGCAGATGCAGAAAGCGGCAGCGGTGCACGCAATCAAATCAATGCGCATCGGCCTCGCAACCAGCGGTATATTTCGACACTAGAACACTGCAGCCAAGTCGATGATCCGGGGCAATCAAGCGAAGCGCCCAGTCCAAAGAGCAGCAAGGCGACTGTGGCCGACACAAGATGATGACTCTGGCCACGAAAACAAGTCCGTGCCCATATGTGACTGTAGGAAAAGAGGAAAGGCGCCGCCGCGAGTGGTAGCGGTTGATATTACGAGAGACCGGATGGGAAAGGCGGGGGGTTGAGGAGGCATCTATTGTGTTTGAGTGTATCCAAATGAGTGTCTTGCTACCTCCGGGCCCCCGTATTAAATGGTAAAGAACCCCCTGTCACACAAAGATGGATGAAAACACAGCGGCGCGTTTGCGGAAAAATTGATATATATCCATGGGAAAATCAGGGGAACAGGTACGCGTGTACCTTTTGACGAGACGAGATAACGGGCGATTGCGCCTCAACGAAAATCATATCAAAAAGCGTTACCAGCCGGTAAATAAAGCGCGCCGAACGATAGGGAGAAAGAGAAACCGCAGAGCAGCCAACAATTTGATCTGTGCGACAACCGTCAAGCCAAATCGGTATGCTTCGTTCAGTTACGTATTGCTGCCTTTTGAATTTTGAAAATCCTTGATCTTTAGGAGAATAAGTGCAGTAATAGGTGTCGACGTGGACGTTAGGAAAGCTAGCAAAATTCTCTAAGGAAAGGGTCCAAAGCCAAATACCGGCAAGCCAGCAGAGATTCCTTCGGGTCTGTTCCTAAGCCAACGCCTAAGCCTAGACCTAAGCTTAAATCGAAGCCTAAGTCTACCTAGTATCAAGAAAATTAGTCAGATAATTTTGCATTTCGCCCTGAGCAATCAAGCAGAGGCTCTTAAGAAAAAATCTGAGCTTGGCTTGGATAAGATTTGACAAAGGCCAGCTAGCAGAGATCCTTTGAGCGCAACCATTTTTAAAGATAGCCCCAGCTCTATTTTTGAACCAGCACTCAAGTCCAATCCCTCAAGTGCTTGCTAGTTCCCAATTTACCCAATTTACGACAAGATTCGAGTTGAGAAGTGGACAGATATAAAAACACTTCGCCCGTACTTCAGCGGAGCCCTAAAAACTGCCCTTTCCGCCTTTGGCCTCTTTCAAACAAGAAATCTTACGCGGTGGGCCCTTCCCCCTTGGGCGTTCCGTGAATCCAATTGTTAGGGCGCCCGTTTTGGGGGGCACAAACGTTGGCTGCGCGGAATATTTCATGGTTTCGGAATGGAACAATGTTCCGTTTTTGCGCGAGGCAGCTGACTTGGCGCTGCGCTACAGGGCGCTGCAAATGACACACAAGCATGTGCTGATTCAGGGGGCCAAAAATCTCGCCGGTGTCTGGAAGAGGGGATCGAGAGAGAGAGAGGAAGAGAGAAAAAAGAAAAAAGAAAAAAAAAAAAAAGAGAGCGAGAGCAGAGAGATTTGCATTCTGCAAATTCTATTAAAACTGGCAGAATGAGTTGACCTCTCAATTTTTGCAGGTTGACAAAAACAAAGCTGTAGAGCAGGTGTATCTGCTAGCGGCCAATGAAAATACAGCTGTATGGGGGTGTGCAAAGAAAATACCCGTACGCTAGGATGACAGTAAGGTAAGGTGGGCGCTGACTGTTCCCAATACGCAATATCAGAATGGTACAGAATTGTGCTATCAGTTTCCGGACTGGCTGAGAGCCTTAGCTGGCCTTATACGACCTTGAAGGTTGTCTGGACAGTATTTATTCGGACAACTTAAAAAAAGCCGATCGAAACCGACATTGCCCTGAGCTAAATAATTAACTTCTAAAAGACTTAACTCAGAATTGGGGCATAATTAAAATTCAAGTTAGATTTGGCCGTCTCTACTTTTCAGATGGCCATTGTCCATTGAAAATAACCATGAAAATATTACTTTAGCCATCTCGGAAATGCGAGTACAAAGCTTATTCCGGAAACGGTAGAGGTATCGAAAGATATCAGCCGAGGAGCCTCTGGAGGACAGATGAAGCCCCAAAAAATGTCCGCAATAGGCCATTTAGCGCCCTCTATGAGGACATTCACACCCAACACACCCCTTCCCCCCTCTACGATGCAACATTCGTTCCGGGAATCCGGAATCTGGAATCCCAAATCCCCAGAAATTATGGCAAAATTGGGGAGGGGTATGGGAAATTGGGCAAAAAAGGAAATGCGGGAACCCTCTCCCTGCGGGAACTACGAAGGAAATGGGGTTAATAATAGAGCGTGTTCGCAGGGTTCGTCACTGTCTGGAGCTGTTTGGGCTTCTGGAGTTTGCTGAAATGTTTCAAATGGAAATGACGATATTCGGAAGCAACCGGAGAAATTTGAACGGACAAGAAAATTTGAAAAAAAAACCCAAAGCGTGGATAAAATTTAAAGATGAAAGTTGCCTACGCAAAGATTGAGATGAGAACAGAATTGATGACAAAAAAAATTGGAAAAAAGGGATAAACTTACGCATTAGAATCTACGTAGAATTCATGCCTCCAAGTAACGTTAGGGCGGTCACCACCCCAAATCCATTTCGTAAAAATTCCAAAAAAAGATTTTCAGAACAAAAGCAAAAAATTGATTAATTACCCCTTGAAAACACGCAAATAAGGATCCTCACAAGCACCAGAAAATTCTTGCAAAAATTGGCTAAAAATTCAAATTCAATATTAAATTCCACTCAAATAATCATCCTTTTGTTTTGTAGGAACCTTGTATTTTGTATTTTAAAAAACTGCATTAATCGATGTATCAAATGATGTTGTAATTTCCTAAAGGGATCAGGTCTTTGATCGGGATAAACCTGCCAGCCGACCCTCGTAACTCTTCGTAGTCTACCTCCTCCCCCCTCGGGGTGTCAAAGGACCCATAGCATGCACATCCTCCCCCCGGGCCTCGACCCGACATGTGGACTAATTTGATCAAATGGGGCTCATCCTCCAACACTTTTTGTGGGCGCCCCTGTAAAATGTGGATGTGTTCTGCTATGGGATGTGTGCCTAGATCCACCCTTCGGATCGAGGCATTCAAATATGTAGTTGGAAAGGTTTCATGGGTATTTCGTTGGATCACCTGAAAGGAGTACGAGAGAGAGCGAGAGAGAGAGAGAGAGAGCCGAGAGAGAGAAAAGCGAGAAACAGAGACATAGCGAGAGAGAAAGAGAGAGACGAGAGAGAGAGAGAGAAAGAGAGAGACGAGAGAGAGAGAGAGAGAGAGAGAGAGAGATGAAAGCAACGCAACGTGGTTTAGAACGTCCGGATAATCCAAATTTAGTGTTCTAAACAACGTAGAAAAGCCTACCGTACTTCTTATAAATATTTATTTGTAAGGCCAAAGAGGCAAAACTCGGGCTGCGAAATTCGGTTTTTAATGCATCTGTCCGACATCAGAACAAAGGCCAACCGGTGCTCACTACGATAATTTACTAGAGCCACCCACTGGCAGGTGAACGTACTATATAATGATGCTGAAACATTACGTATTCGGTGCGTGGAACCCGATTCAAGAAAACTAAAGATAGACGTGCCGTTTTCATCAAGTACGAATATAGAAAATTACTTTTAAAAGGATCGTGACAGAAGATTTTTATAAATTTCAAAGGCAATGTTTCAAAAAGCTAAAGACATTTGAAAATGAAATTTTAGATGTCGAAAACCCACACTTACGCTTAATCCAATGTCACCCGATTATACCACCAGATTACAACAATCAAAATGGAACC